GACTAAATCGGGGTAACCCATAAATGCTACAATATCTGCAGTCAGTTAGCGCAACATTCTGTAACATTTTTGTCTTGCGATCTGTCCCAAAAGTCGTTTGTGTTTCGTGCTCAGCGCGCTCGCCTGAATTCGGTTGACTCATATTCCCTCTTGTTCAGGCATGAGTGCTGTTCGTCATTTTGGGAAAGTGCGATGCCATCAAAAAAGACGTCAGGACATGTTCCAATGCAATGCATATGGAGCTGGGAAAATAGCTGTAAGTGTTTCTGTACTATGAAAACGTGGCTGGCTGTTACCTGATCGAGTTCTTTTCTCAGTACTGGACAACTATGGACCTCGTGTCATCCTCGAGAATGACTCACATAAGAGCGGACCAACGGTGAACTCTGGTTCTGCAGGAGGTGGCAGAGACCGATGAACAATGTCGGAAGACTGTGGCTGCCTAATGAAGAAATCACATTGTAAAAAAACCAAAATAGATGACCGTAACGTTTATATATTTGCATTTTCCCAAGTTGTTATGTTTCTTTAATAGTCGTTGCATTCAGCCAATAGATGGCTCTCATTTTGATCTTCTAACTGTCACTCAAATTTATTTAAATGTATTGTTGTCCAATGCTTAGGCTGTAATCGTCGGGTATTACTGTTTTGTACCAAACTGATGCCATTTTTAATTGCTCTCGCTTTCTTTGTTTCTCCAAATGTTCGTGTCTAGGGACGATTTCTGGTTAGATTGGTTCGATATCTCTAAATTCTTTGTCAGTGTTTGTGGATATGCGCTTTCTGCGTAAAAGTTATTGAGGGCTATATAAAGCACTTCAATAATTTAGGTGTAAAAACATTGAAAAGTAATGTAACGCAGCGCTGAGGAAAAATTTTGCAGAGTACGACCCCCGACTCACCCCACCCCTCAAAATTTCTCTCTGAACGACGCCTGCCCAGCTCCCGAAGAGGTGGTCGGGTGGATCCCGACCACCTCCTCTTGAAATTCTCCCAACTTCGCACCGCTTTCCCAGAATGGTACAAGTAGGACACTTTGGTGGCAAGATTTTCCGGTTTCTCAAGGTAGCTGCATAAACTTCGTCGAATACCGAAGCCGAACTGCACCAAAAATTACTACTTTGAACACATTTTGATGTGAACTGAATCAGTGCCGGGTCGTCTCGCTTCTTGTAAAGGTTGCTATTGGCGATATACTGCAACACTTCCAATAGAATGTTTTTTAGGAAGTGTGCACTTCAAAATAGAAGTGCTTTTACGCTCTTAGGCTGCGTTCATACTTTGCGGCAGCGTACGCTAGCGTTTCCAGCGTTCGGCAGCGACAAGGAAAGGATAGATATCGATCTAGCGTCTGCCAGCGTTCACTAGTGTTTGCCAGCGGCCGGGACTGGAAGGTACGGGAGAGTAGCGAACGGCTCGATTAAGAGTCGTGGAATTGCAGCGCGTGCAACCGCACCGCACTATTAGACGATACCGTATACTAAATTGGTATTGCATAATTCTGTGGTTTGGCTGTTGAAACGGAATGTTTATTACATTGGCATCGGAATTGAACGATCTGTGAAAACGCTCGTCTTTTGCAGGTACCATATCCTTTTTAGGGCTGATCTGTTGGAAAGTCCCATTTGGGAATTTTTAGTAATTCTTATGAACGTCCCCTGAACGAATGAATATACGGCCGACACATACACGCTCATCTATATGAAAGGTGCTAAGTGATCCCACGCTGCTCTATCCTGCAATACAGTTCAACCATTGCATCATGCAATTTAATGTTTAGGGTGCGGTATTGTCTAATAACGCGGTGCAGTTGCACACACCGCAATTCCATGACGCCTATCAAGCCGTTCGCTACTCTCTGTTCTCCCATAGTCTCTAGTCACCGCCGCTGGCAGACATGA